GCAGTCGGGCACTGGCAGCGTGTGGAAGGAGAGGGCAATAGGGAGACAGAGGTTTACAGCGCCTTTCTTTGGTCCTTTTCTAGGAATGGAGAAAATAAATTTCTCGGGAGGAGAACCGTTTCTTCAGGATAGAGGCGAATTCGTAGGCAAACTGGTCCAGTTTTGCAAGCAGGAGTTGAAGCTACCAAGCGTCAGCATTGTTAGCAACGGCAGCCTGATTAGAGAACGGTGGTTCAAGAAGTACGGTAAGGAAAAAACACTGTGCACAGAAGCACTGGTGGGGCTTGGGAGCCTCCTCGGGGGAGCCTCGTCGAAAGATGGGGTTTGGTGCAGGTGGGAGATGGCTTGTTAGTGATTGATTTACTGTAAACGCAAACCAAACGTAAATACCGGTGAAATGTTGTTAATTATGTGTTGTGGACATAGGCAGTTTGTACTATAGCCTCTTTGGTATAGTAGTATAGTAACATCATAGCTCAGACTGTCTCCATAATGCTGGGGACAGACACATGTGCCCACACACACACACACAGACACACACACAGTGTTTTTATGCTGCTGCTGCTGTGGCTTTTGTGGTTCATGTGATGAGTCCACAGAACTGTATTTACATGGCACTTTGTGACAAATCACAAGGAACTGAAAGTGAGCAGAGTCCTGTCAGCTTTTAACTGAGGGACTGAATATTAATCAATTTTTAAAACTTGTTTTTAGGTGAATATTTAGACATCCTGGCAATCTCATGTGATAGTTTTGATGAGGATGTCAATGTTTTGATTGGCCGTGGTCAAGGAAAGAAGAACCATGTGGAAAATCTGCATAAACTGAGACAGTGGTGCCGAGAGTACGCTGTTGCTTTCAAAATAAATTCAGTGATCAACAGATTTAATGTTGAAGAAGATATGAATGAGCAGATCAAGGCACTCAACCCTGTGCGCTGGAAGGTAAGAAGGTAGTGCCTACCATAGGTTTCCTGTGCAGAGAAAAGTAACAGTGAAGTCCTGGAGTTGTCTGAACCTCTAATGACCTCAGTCAGATCTCCAGGTTAAATGGAGCCAAATATGTCAAGAATCTTTTTTGTTGTGATATGTACAGGAAATTACGATTTCAGCATATGTAGATCTAGGTTTTGTATGATGTTAAAAATAAGGTAGAAGGTCTTTAACATTTAAAAAAGTGTCATGGTGTAGAGAAAATGAGGAAAAGTTAGTGGACAATGACACTTTAGCGTTAATACATCATTAGCAATATATAAGTGTACAGTAGACATTAATGGTCAGTGTGCATATCTTACAATATTTTCTACTAGAAGTGTATTAAATACATTTTTATAAGTTTGCAAATGGGTAGAGATAATGTGATATGGGAAAACTTGTAGAATAATTTCTCATTATTTGCTTAATGGAAATTGGTATACACACATGATTTCCCAGGAAAAAGAAAAAAAAATCACCGTGAGTGAAATCTTGGTCCTACTAAAGGAGTGTAAGAAAAATATGACATACATTTTAACATTTGATCAAGCTTCCTGGCCTACTTTCTTACTGGGTTACAGAGCACATTGATGGCAAAGGCACCTTTTTCCCCCCAAAGTCTATTCTGAATGTATTTGAGGACTTGGCCTTTAGAAGGAGGCTGTTAAGTAGACAAACTATTACATTTTGTTTCTGGGGAGTCATCCCTATCTTTTCTGTGACCATCTGAAGCTAGTTAAACTTATGGTCGTTAATCAGGTTAAAATCTTTAGGAATAAAGTTTGACTTGATAGTCTGCATTGTACATAGTACTTACTGGCATTTATAATACAGCCATACTATTTGAGGTTCAATCAAAAGTTTATTTGAGCTTTGATTATCTGTGCCCTTATTAAGATCAGAGCAGTTAAGATTTCTGTGGAAACCTGATCAGGAACCATGACTGTATAATTACATTTAAAACTACATAATGTTAATTTGCTAAAAATAAATCTGCATTGTGCCCTTTGTGTAGTATGCACTTACTGCAATTTGTGTCAGTGTAGCTCCACTGACAGAAAAATTAAAGACATTGCTACTGAGACTACTGAAGGTTTTTGTCATGGTGACAGTCTCTTATCCTCAAGGCAAGTGAAAATATAAAATCTTAACCAGGTGCCTTCTGTCTTCAGGTATTCCAGTGCCTGCTCATTGAAGGGGAGAACAGTGGTGAGGACGCCCTGAGAGAAGCAGAGAAATTTATTATCAGTGATGAAGAGTTTGAACAATTCCTGGATCGCCACAAAGATGTCTCCTGTTTGGTACCTGAATCTAATCAGAAGGTAAAATTGAAACTGTCCTTTTGTAACTTTATTTTCAAATAAAGTAGGAAAGATGGAAAGGAACTAGAAGCTTTCATGGCAATTGACACTTTCCCTATTAGTATTGGCTTAGAAAAGGTATAGTACCACTTTGCCAGCAACTGGTTTTGTTATGTGGTCAAAGTCAAGGGTTTTAATTTTCTTTAAGGCTTTTTATTGACCACAAAGTTATTAGTAGAAGAATTAAAACTCTTTGATCCCAGTCCTGCAGAAACCAGTGGGAGTCCTCTCACAGCATCGCATGGGCCTCTGTGCAGTGAGATGGGTGTATAAAGTATCAGCACAGCAACTGGAGAAACTGAGTTTTCCACAGCTGAGTGGTGAACTCTAAACAGTAATTATGCCCTTTGGAATTGAATAGCTCTTCCTCACCAGGGCACAAGATCCTGCTAAGGTTGAATCTTAATGTAAACACACTTTATACTCGAAGCATGGTTTCCTAATAGAGTTATGCTATGGCCGTGTCATCGACCTACAGTAAATAAGAGATCGTCCCAGCCAGCATTATATTGCATTTGAAGGAACAAGAACTAGTATTTTGCCTGACACATCTTAGTGGGTACTCCTTCCCACAATAGCCACATTTTTAACATTGTTTATCTGAACTCCTTTGGACAGCACGTTTGGGCTCTTAATTCACAAGGAGACACCTTGTGCCTCTGCAGAGCCCAGCAGTTAACTTGGTGAGCTGCCATCCAGCGTATGTTAGCTGCAGTAAAGGACTTTAGTGCCTAAGAGTGGAGCTCAGGACATTTTGTAAGATGCCTACAGACCCTACACATTGCATGAGAAGAGTTAGAAGACTCACTGTGAAGAAATTTTATGAACTGAGT